TATTCAGGATACATCTACTTGAGCTCCACTGACATCCAAGGACACCGACTTTCGACATTGCTCCTATGTGTATGGAGTTGTTATCTTATCTTATCGTATAAGCGCCCAAAAATCCACCCAAATGCGGCAACTGTCATTACGCAGAGAAACCAAAGCGCAGTAGACCATACGATTACGTAACTGATTGTTATCAAGTCAGCGCTGACTTCGGCAACTCGGCAAACAGACGGATAACATTCGGAACTGATACTATCACATGATGTAAGCGATCCCACACCTACTATGTCACGCTGCTGCGTCCCATCTAAAACTAGCGCTCGTCCGTCCGATTAACACGGATAATCACGCTTTATCACGCTTTTGTAACGTTTTGGCTGGGGTCACATCCCTGTCACTGTGACGAGGCCCATGCGCAAAAACCAACTCCCTCCTTCGGGGGAGTCGGAAAGACGAACCAAAAAGAAGATTCGATCCCCTGGTTGGTAATTCTCAGATAACCATTGGTAGGCATCGAGGACAATCCGCTTAAAATTCCTGCGTAAACCATGATCATTCGCATACGAACCGGCAAAGATTTACAACACAGATAACGCTAGACTACCCAGCATGCAATTGCCATGTCGACGGTGTGATCGAAGGTCTGCCTCCAATACTTGAACGATGTCTTGCTCTCCTTCGCATACGTGCCGATACCGCTGTTGTAGTACGTGAGCTGCGTCTCGTCCTTGACTAGCCGGCTGTAAAGCTCGACAACATTGGTGTTCTATGAGCCGAAGATGAGATCACTGCGAAGTCGATGAACAAAAACACGCTGTGCTGACTTTTTCGCTGAACTGATTGGCGGTACCGTCTATACATACGACGAGGTTCCTGGCGTTAGATTTGCATGAACATGGCGGTGGTCCCTTGGCTTTGCGTTGTTGCTCTCCTTGGTTGCGACCTTCAGTCCCCGGCTTCCCAGACGGTCCCGGCGCCTGTTCGTCGTAGTCCAAGTCCGTCTGAGTTTGACCTCCGGTTGCTTCGGTCTCGTGCGACGGAGAAGTCGAAGGCGAAGTTGAGGCCGCGTCTTGGTCGTCGGCGGATGGCATGATTCCTTGGTACAGCGCGTACTGGGACAAGGACGATGGGGGAGGAAAGCAAGGGGAGCAAGCGTCTATCGGATAGGAGCACGAGATGATGGATCGCCCACGCTAAGCATTGTTTCTCAGGGAATTCGATATGAACGGATTCAGATGCTTTAAGCGAAGGAGAAGTCCTCACAAGGTTCAATATGTAACAAACATGCACTGAAGCTTGCTGCGCGAAATCCCGATGCGAGTGCACTAGCATCCTGAGCTCATGCGTTCCGGCCAGTAGTGATGCGGCAATCGAAGGCGCTAAGCGCGGTTGCGACTATCCACGAGGCGAAGAACAAGATGACATGGCCAGCGACGTTGAGGGCACTGCCCGTGGAATTCTCCTGACCATAATAAGAACCCGCACAATCGTCCGCGCAAGGACATGGGAATGAAGCCGATATAGTCGCAAGCCTTGTACAACATGCGTTCCCATTGGCGGCGGTCGGCGGTAAGTCACAGATGATCGGCACGGAAATTGGCGCCCGCCACCAATCCGCCACCTTGAATTAGTGGCGGACATGTTTACTCCTGCCTCGCTGCGTGTTCGTGCTCTCATCCCTTTGTGTGTAGTCTTCTAATAGCTCCATGCCTCCTCCACGAGTCCAGCTCTGTACACGAGTATTCCCATGCCATTGGCTGTCCTGGGCTCCTGTATATCTCGCGGACCGAACGGCCGCTTGTCGGCCATGGTCTGCGTATTCTCATGCCTGTCGGGGAGGGTAATACTAACTCAAAGTGTATAGATGAGCTCAGTGAGAACCCATGTTGTGACGACTGGCTAAGTTCTGTGGAGCGTTGGTCACCCGGGAAGATAGACTCTGAGGAGGCTCGGACGCGTTGAACCGTTGCAAGTATTCGTTTAGCTGGGGTAAAAATTGCATCGTACATGGAAGTGTCGCCGTTTGGTTGTTGTGTTGTAGGTTAAGCAAACGTGGTCCCTATGGACCGGGCAAAAAGGACATGATTGCGGGCGGAACACGCCGGTGCGCTATACATGTAGACAATTGCCACGCGGGAGGTCGTCCCTCATCTGGCGTCGTCGACCCCCTGTACAACAACTTCGCTAGAGGAGAATTGCTGCACTGGAGACAAAAATGGACGATTTCATGTCATTGATGCAATCATCGACTTTGTAAGTACCATGTATGGATATGCAGGTTCCTGTCTTCGTCTCCGTCTTCGCTGGGTAGCTCACTCACGACTCGCCTGGCTAGCCCCCTGACCTCCTTCCTCCATCTGAGCATGGACCATCCCACCTGTAGTCGACAGCAGCGGCAATGTATTGATCACGCCATCGAGAACCTGGAGGATCACATTAGGTCGCTCCACGAACGTCACCGCCAGGAACCATCTTCCTCGTCGTCGCAATATCCCTCCCCAGGTGTTTGTCGTTCGCACTCACCTGCACGCACCGACCAGCAGACATCAGAACATGATACGCACAATCTGTTAGACAGAGATTGTCAGGCTACGCTCGAGCAAATACGGGTTCTTCGCGAACGCCGCAATCAACTAGCCGCTGTTCAGCGACTGCCCACAGAGATCATCTCTCGCACATTCTGCCTCTGCTTGGACCTCATCAAAATGTCCCGACAATCATTCCCTTCCAGCTATGTCTTTGTCGGAGTCTGTCGACGCTGGCGAGATATTGCTCTGAACACCGCCGCCTTGTGGATCATCGTACCTCGCATCACGCTGCGACTGACGGAAATATTTCTGGCTAGATCGAAAGGTGCACCCTTGTTCTTGAATATACCGCGAGGGCCGCTCAACGATGCATCCATCCTGGCTCTGACTAGCCTTCATCGAGCACAAAGTCTTGTAATCGACAGAACATACATGACCAATCAACTAGAGCACCTCCTATCATGCCCTGCTCCACTCCTCGTGCGCTGTTCAATCAGTCTTTACGGATCCGACCTACCAGCCAATTTCTTGGGCCTGCATTCTCCACGACTCCGTCAGCTATATTTATCGTACGCGTCCGTTGACTGGACGGCGATGTGGTGCGAGCCCTCCATGCAAAGGTTGACAAGCCTCGAGTTGGTACACCTACCGCTACGCTCTTATCCAAGCGTGGACGAGTTGACACTGGCTCTGAGCCATATGCCTTTCCTCGAGAGTCTTGTGTTCGATGTGGAGGGCGGAGATCGGCCGGAGCAGTCTCAGGTGTTCTCAACCGTGGTCACGTTAAGCCGCTTGACAAGTCTCAACTTTTCCGGGCCTCCATCGTACATCTGCAACTACCTGGAACACGTCCGAGTTCCACTTACCTGTTCTCTGCGTATCCGTTTTTTCCACTCGGATCGCCTGTTCGACTTCTGCGTCAGATTGGCCTCCTTCCTTCGAGATCATGCCGTATGCCGGGATGAAGGCCCTTCGATCTCCCACATAGTCTACAAGGAACTGGGATACTCCTGCGTAGTCGCCGTGTATCATTCTTCTGAATCTCGGGCGCACCATTCACCTCTGCTTTGCTTGGAAACACCGCGGACCGAAAGCCACATTTTACCCGTCCTTCACCAACTACGCACTGGTTCCATTGATGTCCTGGAAGTGTACATGGTCGCCGAAGATCCGCGCGAAGACTCCGTCCTGCAGGTCCTGGAGCGATGCAGGGCTGCTCGCGAATTGATATTCGCGGACATCAGGTCTTGCGAGACCATCATACCTCTGCTCTCGCAAGGCTCCGCCGACCGATCTACGGCCCGGGAGACCTACACTTCACCTACAGCTCTTCCGTTGCTACGGCGAATGCAGATACGTCTGCAGTCTTATACGACCAGTGACCTTTGGCTGCATCTCCTCATCGAGAGATTTATCAGCTCAAGAACTCCTGTAGAGCTTGTCGTGAAGCCGGCTTCGCGGCTGCATCCTGCAGATAAACAGATGCTCGCCGATATGACCGTTAATGCAGAAGTTGTGATCGATCGAGATACAATGTATGTCAGGAGGCGACTCAGCCGATGAGAACTGGAGGACCTGTAGTCATCGCAGGCTGCTGCAACGCACAAAGTCTGGAAATGTTTGTTCGAGGGGGTTCTCAATGTAGGTCTTGTCTTCTGCCAGCTTAGTTCTCGTTGTTTCGTAATCCATGATTATCGGACGGCAGATACCCGTACTATGCGCACTGGAACGGCTGGTCACCAGGTGCGCTCGATACCCCATTCACCTGGCATACTGTACGCAGAAACCGAATGCAGGCGAGATGGTGTTTCCCAGATGTTTGCGGAAGTGAACACAGCCAACTGTGCGCATAGCTGTGGGAATTGCTACAGCTCATAGGGGAAAGACTAATACGCGGAGGTCGTCGAGCGCCTCAGTGCTGAACCTGAAGGCAACGGGGAAGAGTAATGGACGTCCTATTTTAATGTTACGAGGTTCTGGAATAAGGTCTTGAGCAGCGTGACGAGCGGTTTGTGTCGACCATGCGTCTCGCGGCCGGAAAGGCGCTGACAGAGATCAAGCTCAACGAGGCTCGTGTTTGGCTCCAAATCAAGTGGGAGATCGGCCACGGAGGAGGATGAAGGCTCGCTCGCCGAGGGGATCGCGATGCTTAGCGTTTGCAGGCGCTTGCAGTGCATCGCGAAGGATACGATGGCTTGGCACGTCAGCGCCTGAAAGGTTCTGAAGTTGCTCCCTGACCGCTCCAGGAGGTCAATGTGGGTGGCGGCCGGGCACGAGCGGGCAACGTGGTCCACGACGTGATCTGTCCAGTCGAGACCGACGCTGATGCACAGGACTGTGAGCTCTTCGAATCGCGGCATCTGGAGCATGATGGCCGCCGGATACGACCGGAGTTGCTCCGCTTCCTGGCCGATGCGCAGGGCGTGTAGCGCGGGGCGCCGAAATGCGGCCTCGATTGTACGATTCCAGTCCTCAAGGGTGGGATAGGGTTTCGGAGAGATGCACAGGTCGCGCGCGGGGGGCGCAAGCTGAAGGAGAGTGCATAGTGCGGAAAGGTTTCCACAGTACAGCTGCTCACTGACGATAGGGAGTGCTTCGTGCGGCGGGAACCCGCGGGCAGGAGACCTCAACGTTATTACTGAAGAGTGAACGTATAGCACAAGTTTTACGATGGAGGGCATGTTCCAGAGTCGTCGGAGCGCTTCCAGTAAGGTATTTGTCCCATCACCTGCGACAACTTCATGGACCGATAATTCGTGTAACGAGTATAGCTGCGACAGAAGGATCAGTGCGGGCGGGCCCACTTCGGGAGCGGAGAGGTTGAGACTGAGAAGCTGAGGTGACGCGAGGTCAACGAGCGTGCGGAGGAGTTGCTGGACTTTGTCCCAGTGGAGCGCAATGGACGTGATGCGGAGATGAGCGAGGCGTGAAGTGATGAAGAGCATTGAGCAATCAGGGTGAAGGCATGTAGTGTGGAAGTCGAGATAGCGGAGACGAGGGAACAGTCCTTCCTTGAGGCCATCGAGCATGGCGAAGACAAAGTCTGGAACTGACACGATATCTTGCTGTCGTATCTTGACAATTCTCCTCGAGTAGTGCAAAAAGCGATGCAGGCTAGAGTCGCACAGATTCAACGAACGGGAACGGTGCTGCGTAAGATATCTATATTTCAACAAAAATTGGGAGAACTGTAGGTCGTCTCGTCATATCTACCTGTCCCTTTTCCTCCATCCACTGGGGAATCAATTCAAAGAGGTGCTCGATGTTCACTATGTCTTCCCACAAGTAATCCAGGCCAACTTCCACCCACGCCTTGCAGGTAAGGGCTACACTGCGGGGATCACGGTAACAACGACCATCCGTGAAATCCGAGGCATAGGCAAGATACTCAGTAATGTGTGATATGAGCTCGGGGACGAGGAGAGTCCTATGCATAGTAGTTGACTGCGAGATGCTAGCAATTATCGTACCTAGACACGCTTTCGAAACGCGATCTGAACAATCATGTGCATAGGTAAATGGCTCACCGTTCGAAGTGGGAGATCAAGGGGAGTGCAAAGAGGTGCCGCCGGGTAATGCCGAACCGTCCACTGAGTGTGCAATAAACTCCGCCAAGACAGGGCCTGTCCTCTTCAACTTCCACGTCCTCTCGTGCTGGAGGACCAATAGCGAAGCTCGTTCAATCTTGCAAAAAGGTAGCGGGGACACAGTCAAATTGTGCGCTTACGTGACTGACACCCCATGGCGACCTGCCGTTGCAAGGAGTGCGGAGGAGATGTGGTCTGGGATACGGAGGCAGGCTCGTCCATATGCACCGAGTGCGGGACCCTGGAAGATGCTTCGCAGAGCGTGTTGACCTCTTCGCAATACGATGCGCAAGATACTTTCGTTTTCGACAACTCGCAGGCGACGACGCTGAAGAGTCTGCGGCACTCTGGCCGCAACCTTGCCGGACAGGAGAAACATGCTAGGCATACCCGCAACACGGTCAGGCATCTTCGTTCGAACGCGTTCTGAAATCTTGAGCTAACTGCCTTGCAGCTGGCTATGCATAGCTATATCCTAGGGATCCTTACGAGGTTGTCTCACCCCGGTCTCCTGCCTCGTGCTAATACCCTCTTCGACAACGCGATGACCACCGGCAAGCTGCGATGGGGACGTAAAGCAAAGCTCACGGCTGGCGCGTCTATCATCATCGCTTTGAGGGAGTCAGGCAGATCCTCGTTCCTGGACGACATTGCGGTTTGTCGATCTCAATCACAACATTCCGCTCAGTGATACTAATTACTCTTGGTGCAGCACATGATCGAGGAGACACCGTTACGACTTTCACGGACATTCTCTTCTACTGTCAGGCTGCTACGGCTGGATCTCGTGTTGGCGGACCCGGCTTCGCATCTCCAAGCCGTAAGCGCCCACATTAATGCCCTAATAGACACGTCCCCGGGAGCCTCGCTGCGCGTACCTTTACCTGCTTCACTCATCAAGGTCCTTCGATCCCTTCAAATCCACTTCCCAAACGTGATCAAGACCTCGACATCCCTTTCCACCTTGATAGCTCGCACGAACGCTCTGGCTCACCTGTCCACGCCAGCGACGGCGTGCGCTCTTTTCCTACTCTCGCTGGAGGCCGAGCAGCGCACGTCACTACCCAACTACAGCGAGCTCGCAAAGGCGCTTGGGGCAAGATTCAACGTTAGCGGCGGGGTCGTAATGGAACGGTACAAGGTTATCTACGATCTCGTCGAGCAATGGATCAGAGATATCCCTTGGCTTGAGGCCCATGAGAAGAAGGGGAAGGGCCGGAGCAAGGTCGCGAAGAGGGTGGTGGTGGCTCGCGGGCTGAAGGATGTAGTGCAATTCCAGGAGGAGTTGTGGAGGAAGGCGCTCGCGGAGGCGGCTAAACCAGTGCTCACGCTCGAGTTGGACGAAGAGGAGCTGGCGGAAGACGAGGTGATGAGTCAGAGCGACGGCTCTTCTGCCAGAGCGGGAAGCGAGGCTGGTGCATCGGCGGCGAACAGCCTCAAGCGATCCAGCCAGTCACCGGCCCCCTCCGCCCCTGCCACGATGAAACGGAGGAAGACTGGGCAATCGAAGAATGTAGACCACGCCACAGACTTCCTACTGCACCCATCCTCGGCGCAGTCGATACCTGGAGCGGAGTCCGCTCTTGGGTATGCTCCGTCTACCTCGCATCACCCGTCGGGTCGGCACGTTCAATATCATTTCCCATTGCTCTCTCACGTCCTCGCTGGTGACTCGCAGACGCTGTCGTCATCGCGTCCGCCGACCAGGCTCCAGATGCTCGCCGGTCTCCGTGGAGGATCGGGAGAGGAGCAGGTCGCGGACGAGGAGTTGTTCGAAGAAGGCGAATTGGAGGGCCTCATGCGAGATGAGGCTGAGAGGGAGGTCGTCAGGCGCGCGCTGGACTGGCACGATGAAGAGGAGCGTCAGGAGACGGCTCGTGAAGTGAAGAAGAAAGGCAAACGGAAAGCGGGCGAGAGTGAGCAGGACGACGGCACGAGGAGGATTGACATGGAGGCATACCAGCGATTGATGATGGGGTTCCAAGATGAAGAAGCCGTGGACAGCGAATTGGATCTCGGAACAGGTCCTAACGACGATACCTTCCAACATGACTTCGGGTTATGGAGTGCTGACGGCGAGGAAGGCCTGGAGGTCTCCGCCTGGCGGCCTCCCACTCCTGAAAGGGCTGCATACGACGATAGCCGATACGACCATTAATCAATTGGCGCAAAGTCTCATAAAGCGGATTAATGTATTGTACATACTGGAGAGCGTAGGCTCGGATTATAATATCTATGGATGGTATAAGGCAGCAGAAAGCATTCCGAGGTGGATTGTATAGGCTACATTCAATTTTGGTGAAGCAGACGGACGACGGTCAGGATATATGACGATGGAAGATTAGTCTAGATGGACGGAGTGACCCTTGAGACCTTGTCTACATTTCTCGCAGTCCGCGCGGGGTCCCATGCTGAAGCGGAGGACCTTGCGTGGGCCGTTCGTAGATGCAGTTGGACTTGGATGAGTGTGGCCTGGAGAGTTGATCGGGCCGGGAGGCGAAGCGGAGAAATACATGTGGGCAGGCGAAACGGAACGAGCTGTTCCCCAAGGAGAGCGAGAATGAGGCTGTGTGGTCGAGGAGGGTGACGGAGATATAGACGAAGCGGAAGGCGTGGAGGGCGTTGCGGGCTGGATACATATCAGCGGGTGGAGAGATGAAGGACGGGAGACGTGAGGGAGGACGAGAGGTTGCGGGCTGGGATCGGAGGCTGAGGGTGTCGCCAAGGAGGAAGCGCTCGTAGAGATTCGTATTGATGGACACGAGGGCCTAGGGATCTTCTCCTGGCTCATGCTGACATCGCCATCCATGGGCGTAAGCTATACAACTGGGTTTGAACGATCCGTACAGCCATGGGAAGGTATGGATATGTCCTCACCTGGGTGTCCGCTTCCATGCATTCGTCCGCACTCGCCTGTTCCGTCGGAAGCTGAAAGTCACCCGCGTTCAGTCCAGGGCTATCGAGACGAAGGTTGGCCAGTCGTGTTTGAGAAACAAGATCTTCGGGCGACCGTTGAGTACATCCTGATTCTTGTGGCGCGTGGATGTCTGGCGCAGTGACGGGCGCGGGTCGAGGCGGTAATTGAAGATGTCCTACCAGAGCGAGCGCCGCGCGTTTCTAGATAATCCGTCAACGATCTCCGGATATCATGCAGTCACGACGGTCCTCGGACGTACAGCGGGGCGATCACTCAGAGTGGGCGAAGGTGAGCGCGACCGCTTCAATGTTGGACCAGTGCGCATAGGGGAGAACGTCGGAGAGTGCATCTCGAGTTCCATGGTCGCAGTCGCCCTGCAGGCTTGGATCATGCGCTGGCTGTTGAGCGGCGGCGGCGGCGGTGATGGTGAAAGTAGGAGAAGGATTTGCGATTGAATACAAGGCACTTCTTATGTGACCTGAGTGTGGCTGTTGAAATGTTGATGGTGGCCGCTGCTGAGCGTTGCCCTGCCTTGCGGTCGAGCGCGTTCGCAATGTCGGCAGTCGCGTCCGACGGAAGTAAATCTCGCTTGGCATCTCGTATCATTTCCGAACGGTGCATAGTACAGCAGTACCAGCCCTGGTGATCAGATTTGTATGACTAGAGCGGCAAATGTCGCGCGGAGCCGGTGCATAAAGCACGACAACTCAGATCATTCGTTGTATCTGCCCTGCGCGTGGCTACTCGCCGGCTTATGTATGACAGTTATGACCTGCCTAATCATTAGATCATTCGTTGTATTTTCCCTGCGCGTGGCTACTCGCTGGCTTATGTATGACAGTTATGACCTGCCTAATCATTAGATCATTCGTTGTATTTTCCCTGCGCGTGGCTACTCGCCAGCTTATGTATGATAGTTATGACCTACCTAATCATTTGTCGTGTCCGCCCTGCGCGTGGCTACTCGCCGGCTTATGTATGATAGTTATGACCTACCTAATCATTAGATCATTCGTTGTATTTGCCCTGCGCGTGGCTACTCGCCGGCTTATGTATGACAGTTATGACCTGCCTAATCATTAGATCATT